TATGAGAATGTTATATTTCGATTTTTCTATTCTAAGGTTACCATATTTTATTAGAATAAACAAATAATTTTTTTTAATACTAAAAAAAAAAAAATTGTTCAATAATTTGTATACATTTTTAAAGATGTTAGTTAGGTGTGTTATACGAAAGAATGTGTGGGCTTATGATAAGTTACACTGTGCAATACGTAAATCTCATATTTATCAACTATCGCTGACAATATTGTTCGTCGGCATTCGACGCCCATTCCACGAAAATTGTTGCTTATAACTTTGGTTTCAATATAAAATCATAAAAATAATATTCTGTAGACAAGAGTTTTAATTTTTATGTGTATTGTGTATTTTCAATGTATGAATAAATTAATAAACTCAATTTATTCAATTATGATAAATACCTATTATATTAGTTTTATCCGCGATGCCATTGATGCTGACTTTATAAACGCAATGTTTTAAATATTTAGCACAGAGGAATGATCATTTAAATTATTGATATAGGTAACTGTTCCAAAATTATTATAGAAATGATTTAGTTTATGTGTAATGATTAATGGGTAATGAGTGTTTTATCACTTAGCTATATTATATAGTGCGTTGAAAAGAGTTTTGCTTTTTTACTTTTAGGTATGAATATAAATAATATAAAAAATATTTTATCAGAAAGAGGAAAACAATTGATTCTAGTAAATTTGTACACAAGTATAAATTAATTGATGAGTAAAAATAGATAATTTTTTGAAATGAAGGTGTATTAATACCAAATTTTTAGTAATAATATTGTCAGGTTTAGATAAACATAATGTAATTGAAACTTTTAGACAACACATTTACATTCAAAATTCAAATGGAAAAACAAAAACATAGATTCTTAGAGAAAATTACAAAAGAAAAGCAAAATAATGTCTACACCGGCACACAGCTATTTAAAGTTATTCGCACCAAAAGTTTAGTCATTTTCCATATCAGATTTGTCCATCAAAATGTATAAAAAAATTTCCGAAAATCATTGTATGGTAAACAGTAACAGTTTTCTATTTGAAATTTCTATCTTCTTTGGATGAAGCTATTTATCAATTAAATAACTAAAAAAATGAAAAATGTTTTAAATTTAAGTCTATAATTTAACTATTATTAATTTACATATCGATGGCCGTGAATAATAATTTTGTATGTTAAAGTATTGATTATAGAATAGTTTATTCTACTGAACGAAAATTTGTTATATTGTATATATGTTAGATAGAGACCAATTTATACGGGCGTGTTATTTACTTTAAGGGGTTATTAATAAATAACAAATAAATTATCTGCTTATTTTTGAGCTTTTGTCATTTATGTTTTGATTGAAAATGCATATTTCAAACATTATTAATGTAACAAGTCACGAACGACACGAACCCTACTCGTACTGAATTTTAAGAAATCTTTAGTTACAACAAAAATGTAAAATGAGCAGTTTCTATTATATTATTTATATAATTTTATACAAGTACTATAAATACTTTTATAACAATATATTGTCCTTTTATAGTATACCCAATACTGTAAAATCACATTAATTTAATATATTTTAGATTCTAACGAATTGATGAACGGATTAATTTTACAATGATGAGTTCCTTTTTTTTGTCTGTCATCATTCATCACCTTTTGGAGTAGTGAAAATACCTCAATAAATTTGAATTTTAAGGGTGCGACTGTACGAGTTCTGTTAGCAAATGGATCTACGAGTAGTTTGTATTGTCTCGTGTATACATTTTTATAAGAATTATTAAGAAAGTTTAGCTCAATTCCACAAATATTTTTATAAGTATTTGAAATTAATGATTAATGAATAAAAAAAAAGTATTTCTTATTAGTTATTAGTGTATGAAATATGTTAATAGTTTGTTAATAATGAGTAATGAGTAATGACAATATGTGGTACACTAGTACGCCTTGTAATATGTAGTTTTTATGACTATAGTAAATTTGTTGATAGTGATTTTAATAGTTAATTTCTTATTTTTTGTATAACAATGATTAATTATATATTTACAGCCATCATAGGTAAGTAGGTATATAATATATATACTACATATACGATAAACTTAGAGGTACAAAGGTATACGTGGCTATAAATATATAACACATAGTATAATATTGTATAGTCACATTGGTTTATTGTATTTTTAATAACAATAATGTAGTTATTTTTATTTTCTAGTTGGTCTTTTATCCTACCAAATATATCTACTATATTTACTATATTTTATACTATAAAATAATGGTGTATTTACGGATAGGGGTGTGGTTATGGAATAGATCCATCTTGCCCCCTTTTTTTTTTTATTAATTTTTGTTTTTTTTTTTTTATTCATAGATAGGTATTTTTATAATGCAGAAAATACACGTGTTTAAGTGAAGCAGTTGGCCTTCAAATGTTTTGATGACGAATAAAAAATATTATATCAAATAACAATAATAAAAAAGACATTGTCTTATAGCTCCTCACAAGTACAAAAACGCAGAACTTACCAAAATTTATGTTTTGCAGAATTATAAATCTAAAATAGAAAGATAGATATTGAGTTATAAGATATTAATGACTATGATTATTTATTATGTATAAATAATAAAGTAAAGAAATAAATAAGTAAATATTTTAATGTTTGTAAATTGTAAAAGCATAAAGTATAAATTAAAATTATACAAAATCATTCTTTTTCAATTGTAATATTATACTATAATAAGTATTTTAAACACAGTGATTAGCTATGCTCGATCACTCCTCTTTTATTATTAAATCAACTACTCGTATTATAAAAACATTAGGTATATGTTGACACAATTAATAAAATAAAAAATTTATTTAAATTCTGATTTGTTTATCATTTTAGGAGACTTTTGTTTTCTATGGTGATACCTACTTATTTTTTCTATTTGTTGTTCTTTTTTACATAAAAAAATGTGTTGGAGAATCTCTTAAAAATGTTATATTTTGTATGACGGATTTTTTTTTTAATTTAATTTTTATAAATGGACGAATATAACTTATAATGGTTATCATTGGAATTTGTGAGTTGATTAAATGTCGTATTTAACGAAAGAGGGGTCTTGGGGGTTAAAAAAACCCAATTTTTTTTTAGTTTTGTTTATTTCTGAAGTATTGCAAAATATTGTTGATAAATAATGAAATATTTTAAAGCTGCAAAAAAATTGAATAATGTATTGCTTTCTTTAGTAGAGAATAAACAAATTAGAGATGTTATCAACTGGAAGGATCGCATTGAAAGTAATCAAGTATTAGATGAATTAGTAGAAAAAAGTTGACTTTTAATATTGTGAGATTAAGGTTTTTAAATTTAAATGATTTTTTTTAAATTTATCCATAACAATATACGAGTATACAAAGTTAATTAACTGATATGAGCAATTACTCAGTAATAATAATGTTTATTGTTTTTTTAATCAATTTATTGCAGATCACTATTTTTTCAAAGTGCCATATTTTTGAGTTTTTTTGGGGACAGTTGGACTCTTAGCTCAAAGTGGGACTTATAATTACTTTATATGGTATAACTGTAATAAGTCTTTATTAATAACTAATAATTGTATTGTAGCATAGTATATTAGTATAGTATTCAATGAATTTTAAAATTACATAGTACCTATTATTGTAGCTTATAAGTCAGTATTTTACAGTTCTGGCGTACAATATTAAAAGCAATTTCCAAAAATCAACAAACATTTATTTAAAATAAAAACACAATTTTTACATACGTAATTAGAAATTATTATTGTTATACAACGTCATAATATAATTTCGTTGTATAAACTATAATTATTAACTAGATACTATTTAGTTTAGTATTGTATGGTAATTTTTATTTATTTGTTTATATATTATACCTAGTATACAGTCCCAAATAAAACATTTCATAAACAAAACACTCATGTCATATTATTGTAATTAAATAATAAATGGTCTTATATATTTCTTAGTTAATATTAATTAATTAAGTATTTACTCAGTGAATTGGCAATAGAATAATACACAAAAGTATAGAATCATTAATACCATACATTAAACGTTTTATATATGTTGGCACCCCATACTTATTGATTTGCCTAATAATTAAAATTTGTGCTTATAAAAAACTCGCATTACAGAATTTTTTTTATTTGCTAACGTTGTTGTAAACATCAAGTAGGCAATCGATAAAAATTACAAAAGTAAGTGAATATAATTAAAATAAAAATACATAGTAATCATTAGACAAATAATACAATTGAATATTATATGAATATAACACTTAATTTTATATTGCTTAATTAAAAAACACATTATTCAATACTCATTGACTTAAGCCTATAAAACTGTATAGCGTATAGACTGTATAACTACTTCTAAATTATGACAATTAAAAAAAAGAAAATACATTTATTTATTATAAATAATATGTCATAATATCATTGCATATTTTTTCGATAATATATTAATTAATTATTCTAAATTTGTTTGTTTGTTTAATTTTAATACATTTTAAATTTAATATTTTGTTAATAATTGAATTTCGTTTACAACGTATCTTCTACCTACCTTATCTCTTAGAGATGAAACAATTCTCTCAAATAAAAGAGTTTATGACTAACTATTTTTAGATATACTCTGACTAATATTAAGAGACCAATCAATTGAAAACTATTATGAAAAATTTCGTAAAAATTAAATTTGAATAACATGTGGAACAAAAATGTGAATCAATCTGATAAAGTGGAAACCGAATATTGATTGTTTTAATGCAATATAATTTTGATTATACTTGCTTTATCATTTGAATATTAAATACATATTTAATCAATACAGTTTAAGAGGTCAATCTTTTCAAGTTTAAATTCTTCTCTAGTTAAGTATGGGTGAATTTTATATTTTGTAAATTTTAATAATACGACTTATTATTTCATCATACTTATTTTAACCTCAAACTTCACATTTTATTTTCCTTCATAATGTATGTAATGTATTGATATATTATTATTTATTATCAAAAATATATAGTATTATGATATATAATTATACATAATATCTTATGTCCAACTTGTAATTGCGTGGGTAAATGGGTAAATGTACAAATGGACATAATATAGTCATATATACATATTTATCTGTTTAGGTTCATGTAAATTAGTTGACAAATATTATTCGGGTTCGGATATAAGCAATTGAATAGAAAGCATTGAAACAAAACCAATAGCTATAAACAATAGTCGTAATATTCTTTGTTTAATTTGTAAATTTCCAGCGGACGGTTTGAGCACTTCAAAGAACACCACATACATCAACGTGCCGGTAGCTAATCCTTGTAGAACGATTGAAAATAGGAGCACACTGTTTGTTTCTTCGAGATTGCTGACCAAAGTGCCTACGCCAATACCTATCGGAGACGTGATAGCAAAAATCAATATTGAACAGTGTGCTAGTAATGGCTTTGTCCTGTCTGAAAGCATCTGTAATCCGACGTAAAATGCGATAACCAGCTTATGGCATGCAACGGCCACAGTAAGTGACCAAACCTGTTAAATGGAAATTAAAGTTTTAATTAATTTCTGTAAAAATATTGTTGCCGTTTTATTTAAGCTAATTTTTTATAATTATTCAATGTTAAACTTTATGTACCAGTGTACCACCAACATTAAATAATTACTATTTTTAAACAGAAAAATAAATTAGATAAGCTATGAAATATTTTAAAAAGAACAAATTCATCGGTCCTAAGCCTAAATAAGCAAAATTCGAAAATCTCGTATTTTATTTAACTGAATGTATATTTAATTGATAGTTGAGATTTTTTCATTATTGATACTGTTGTTGAACATTGCAATTACTTAAAGAGAAATTAAGAAATAAAATTTTTAAAAAATATGCGAGATTTCTATTCATTATTATTAAAACAAAATTTTGAATAAAAGTAGAACAATGTATAACCAGTTTTATATTAAACAATTAAAATAAAATGTCAAAAAGAAAGTAAATAGTTGAACATGTTTACGGTAGTACGGTCAAAGATGAATGTATCTATTGATTTAATATTAATGTGTTTTTTTTATATCTGTTATTATTTTTTGGGAAATAAAAATACTTAGATTTTCAACATAGGGGGTAGTTTTTGATAGTATATTGTATTTAATGGGGGATAAAAAGTGAAAAATTCCCAACACTTTTAAAAATAATTAGGAAAACAAAACGAAAAATAGTAATTTTTACGCAAAACTAAGTTAACATTTGAACGAAATTATATATGTAAGAAATATAACACTTTTATGTACGTTATGAATTGTACTATACGCAATAACATTTTCATAATGTGTAAATTAATTTATTATAAGTTATTACTTATAGTAAATTTGTATTAACCCAAAAGTTAATACCAATAATATATTATTATAGTATAATTAATAATTATGAAATATTAATTATTATATGATAAATGTATTTTTTTCAGAAAAAATAAATCAACCTACGATATTACTAATTATAAAATAAATTACTTTAATGGAGAAATCAAAAAAACATACTTTGTGATATAGCCTGAAAAACTGTCTCCGATCAGACCTTTTTGTACGGTTCATATATAATGATATATGATTGAACTCAAATTTAACGCATCAAATGAAGTGACTATTATAGTTCGACAACTAATGTACAGCAGAAAAATATCCACTTATCACTGTTTTTATTATTGACTGCAGCGTCATAGGCTATAGGGATTTAAACATTTTTTTTTTTTATAAATTATTTTAACAATTTCTAGGCTATATACCTATTGTGTTGTGAAATATAAATTAATTTAAATATATTATATAAGTGTGTTATACTTTTGTATTTTGTGCATTAGTTATACGTATTAAATACATTTTAATACATTTATTCATTAAGATAAGAATATCATGGCTTTTTTAGATAATAGTACAATTAAAATAGTGAATAAATACTTAGATTTTAAAGTTCATAATTTTAAAAGATATTTAGGCTTTCGGTTGACATGATAATTTGAGTATAATAACTTGTTTGAAACGTTAAGGTTTAGAGTTATATTACTTATTCCCAAACATATTATAATGAAAATATTTTACAACTATTACAAGTCAAAATTATTAATCAAGTCTTTCAATAGATCTTTAGTATATACTGTAGTTTGTAAATGTAAATATTAATTTTAAGATAAGGAAATTTAATGATTTGGAATGTATATTTGTTAGAACTTAGTCAATATATATATTTAATTTTTTCAACATTTTATATTAGTCAATAGTTTATTTTATGATATCTATAATAACTAATAACTAATAAGTAAATTGTATTGCATTAATAAATATATAAATCATGTAATGCTTTAAAAATATGTCCACAGTTAGGCTACCGGAACATGAGATTTTGTCAAATAAAGGATAATTTTATATGTTTTTTTGGAAATATTTTAATTAAAGTTACAGAATGTAACATTTAAGAAACAGAACCCGTGGAATCTCCAAGGGGTATGATCACGTCTACTCCCAAGCCACAGTTTAAACAAATTGTATATATTGTTGAAAATAAAATCATAAAAAAACACATTAAACTTGTATCTATTAGACTATACTTTGGACACGTGCAAGTGTGAGTTTTAGGTATGTATCTATATATATATATATATATATATAATGAAGTATAAATAAATTATAGTTATATAAAATATATTATGGTATGACATCATTATGAATATTATGAATCAGCTACCTCACCATAATTAAGTATCTGGGGTCGTTTCTGCGTAGAATATAGAAATTTATGATATCTAATAGTTTTAATGTAAATATGTGATTAAAAGTTTACACAAAAATAATTATTTTGTGTAACTAACTTATACGATAGATGTATTGTATACTTATACACAATCGCTGTTCATTATTTTTTTGTGATAAATGATAATAATCATTTGTTTTTTGCTTCACAAAAATATCACAGTTGTGCTTTTAAGTATTTACTCGTTATCGTACTTTTTATACATCGATTATAACAAAAATACACAGTTCAAACCACTCATTACAATTTACAATTGTCAACTACTTAACTATTAACAATTTTATATTTAATGTGATAATATAATTTAAGTGTTATCTCCGAATAAAAGCCTTGATGGGCGTGTGTACTTATAAATTATGATATCTATTTATAGCTAGAATAAATTTGTTCAGGATTTGTCAGGTACATTTTGAACAGAATAGTTAATAGCATGGGCGTCCCTAGGGGTGACACGACGGGGATCTTGCCCCCCCCCCCCCCTAGAATTTAAATTTTTCACTTAATCGTAGTAATATAATGTAATAACGATGAAACATAATTATGTTCTATGAATAAAATATATAATAACTACAATAATGTACGATAAATAAAATTAAAAAAAAAAATCTTCATTTATTTTTCAAATTAATTTTGCCCCATGAAAAATATCTGGGGATGCCTATGGTCAATGGATAATACTTTAATTGGAATTTAAGTTAAAAAATTGACCATATATTATATAAAGAGATGATGTGTGGACATGTTTACCGCTTTCAAGACTAAAAATAATTTAGGTACATTTTAAAATATATAATTATGATTGTTGCTTTTAAAATAACATCATTTTTGTATCATTGCAATTGGTAATTACTATTTGATAAATATATATTTATATAATGTATTTATAAATATTTATGAAAATATTAATAATCCATAGAATAAAAAATAAAAGTTTATTTACATCAAACATTATTAGATATTTTTTAAAGTACTATTAAAACTCACGAATGAGTTTCAGATTGTAATAAACTTTAAATTAAGTTTGGAATGTTTTGAATACCTCTATAAAGTCTGATTTGAAATTAAAAATTCCAAAAACAATTTAGTAAATATTGAGAATAGTAGATAATTAGTAATAAATTCATTAACATTGTGAGGTTTATTTCATGAATCATAGTTCATAGGCATTTATCATTATTAAAGAGGCCTCTTGAAATATAGAGAATCAGGCTCAGGCGTCATTAAATAAAGCAAGAGTACACTTTTTAACATAGTTTTTTATAATGGTTATTAGCTTAAAGACGATTGCATTAATAAGCATTGTTTTATAATAAAACACTCATAGAGATAATCATTTAAGTTGAGCATTTATTTATTTTTATCTAAAAACAATAATATTTTATAAGAGGGTTTAATACACATTTTCACTTTTTATTCAAGTTTCAACATGTTTTAAATATTATAATCGCACATTTTTAAGTTTAAATACATATAATAAACTAATTAAAAAGTACAAATTTTAATTGTTATATTATTGAACATGAACTTAACTAATAGGTATAAAGACTATAATATAAATATAGAATGCTTAAAATCAATTATAGTTAACGTTTGAATACTTATAATTGTTCATATTCGATAAACTCAAGCTTTATATTAATTGGCTTTTATATCTATATACCTATGCAAAAAAAAAAACAAGTAGTAAAATATTAGCTACTTAGTATTATATTATAGTTAATAATTAGTTAAAATATTCTTTAAATTTTATTCATGATTCTGAGCGTAGCGATGATTTTACACTGTGTTTCTTTTTTGTGTGTTTGTATATGTAAATATTCAAAAAAATACTTATATTTTCAACGTTGAGAGTGGTATGGATAAAAAAAAATGGATTTAGGGTGTATTTTAAACAGGTCAAAATTAAAAATTATTATTATTTTTTCAAAATAGCGGAAATTTTTACTCAAATCTAGTGTTTGACAAAATCGACTTTGTTTTTTTATTTTTGGTGTTACTCTAAAATTGATAAAAGTAGATTCTTGAAATTTTTACCAAATGTTAATATGATTTTTTTCTATAAATAATATAGTTTTAAAAAGATTTTAAACTATTTTTTGACATTTAAAATTTTCAACTTTTTTTAAATGTTAATAAAAAATTCTCAAACTATTTTGTAGTTGAAGTTTTTGAAAAATTCTAATTTTAACTGGAGAAAAATATATTTTTATGTGTATTTGAAATTCAAATTTTTACAAAATTACATATACAGCCGTAAAATAGTTATTTCTCCTCAAATAAATTTTATTATATTTTTGTAATTAAAAGAACGAATATTTGTAAAAACTTGAAATTTTCATTTTTTTTAAACTCTTTTTAAGTTACAGTGGAACCTCGATAACTCAAATCGGTTGGGGGCAAAAAAAAAATTCGAGTTATCGAAAATTTGACTTTCAGAGGTTACACATATGATATGTTATAAAGTAGAGGCCAAGACATTCTTTCGAGTTATCGAAAATTCGACTTATAGAAGTTCGAGTTATCGAGGTTCCACTGTATTTATAGATAATAGATATTTAAAATTTTTTTGATTTTCATTTCTAGAAATATCGATAAAAAAATTTCGCTCTGCAAAAAGGTCTGAAAATTTAATACCAGATGCTACAAAAGTTCTTACAAAGATATTTAAAATATATTGTCACAATTTATTTCTATAAGCATTTAAAGTTTGAATTCCCATAAAATCCGTCAATATCACGAACATTTGTCAAGTGATGATGAGTTAAAAATGTAGAAGTGCTGAAATTTTTTATTGCTGTGATGCTTGAAGATTTAAAATTTAGTGGCTTATAGGTAGTTTGTATTGAAACTAAATTTTTAATTAATTTAACATAATTTATTTTTTTTTTGTTAGATATTTTAAGTTAAAATTTTGATGAAGTTAAATATTTTAACTATGAATAACAATATTCATTTTTTTTCTTGAAGTCTACAACATTATTCTGTGAGACATAAAATTTTTATGCATATTATTAGTTATTACACAATAATATTTTTAAATATGTTTTCGCAGAAAATAATTTAACCTACTCTGTTACTCATAGTAAAATAAATTGTTTTACTTAATAAAGTAATAACAAAAATAAAAAATATAACATGAAATATACTTAGTGATATAGGCTGATAGATCATCCCGCTCAGAATCGTTTTTTTGTAGGTATATACGATAATATTAATTAAATTTAAATTTAGCACATTCATCACCGTATAGCAAAGCCGTATCCATTTACTCACTTTATTTTTATTAAATTAATAGATAATATTATAAATATAATAATTGCAAAATTGGTGAATTATTTTTAATCATTAATGATTATTTAATTAATTTTATAAAAAATAAATGTATTTTTTTACTATAGAAAGTTAGTTTTATAAAAAAAAAGTTATATGTAAATAACATTGATAATTTCTGTATTTATATTCATACAGATAATATATTACAATAAAAATTGTATTAAATACGGATACTTAGCATAGAATAGCATTAAAAGGATTGGAAACAACATGTCTTAATAAATGGTAATCATAAATATAAAGGCATGACAATACAATTAACTTCCAATCATAGGTCTAAAAATTGAATACTAAATGTTATAATATTACAGCAATATTCATTAGACTTTATCCGTTAAACGTGGTTACTTCGCGCATACCACATATGTGGTTATGGCCGAGTACAATGCGCTGTGGTTAGTAACTTAATTCTTTTGGCGAACAGAGGATAAAGAAAATTTCCATTACCTACATTTTAAATTGTAATTGTGTAAGTGGGCTACGTTCAATTAATAATAGGTAAATTAGGCAATTTATGATGAGTAGTATATTACAAATGACAATTTAGAACATGCAGTAAAAAAGTATATAACTATGTTTTAATTTTCAAAAACATTTTTAAGAAGTAAAATTAGTCAAAACGTTGTATGTTTCATTTTCTTTTATATTTAAATATTTAATATTGAATAAATCTTAAATTATTAAAGTATTAAACAATAATTATTGTTGAAAATACATACACACGACACTAAAGCAATAGTAATTATAATACATTTGTTTTTAGACAAACTTTGTCACTTTTTATTAGACCAGCTGACAGTTGGTTCTTAGTAACTATGTTTCCATTATTTTAATTTCTTGATTTGACCTTATTTAATCCTATCAAAACAAAATTATTGACTGTAAAAGTATTATAGAATATGTTAAATAAACTTTAACCTTTATTTTTTTTAATACACTATATGGTTTATACTGTAAATCGTAAATGCGTTTATCGTCCATGGTAAGGTGTTTGAATAATTATAAATTCTATTATATTTCTATATAGGTACAGCTACAATGTTATAATCTAAATATTTCATCCGAAACTTTGTTAAATTTTGAATAGGTAATATATTTTGTAAGTGTTACGAGTTACTTAAAAAAATTATTTAGATTATAATGATATTTTTTTAATTCTGATAATTATTTTTATTCCGTATAACATATTGTTATTTTTATTATCAACAATAGATTAATGTTTGTGTAGATAAAGTGCGTTTTATGTTTTGTAAAATATATACCTACATTTACATTTTATATATTTGATAGACAATTGTGGGGTACCTATAAATTATAATTTATAAAGAAGCATAGAATCAGTTTTATTTTAGAAAACATGCATTTCATAAAAAAATAATTTTTATCAACTATATACTATACTAGTGTTGGGCGAGTATTGGTTTTTTGAAGTCAAGTCGAGTCGAATCGAGTTTCAATTACATCGAGTCGAGTCGAGTTCAAAATTCGAGTACTCGAAAAATGTCGAGTACTCGAAAAAAGAGTCGAGTATTAGACAATTCCAGAATATTAAAAAAAAAATCACCCAAGTCGGTATATCCGTTCTCAAAAACAACTATAAACTATAAAATGTCGTTTTCATAATAATAAATATAATATATATATATATATAATATAGCAATAACAATCCATTCACTATTGTTAATAATTTAAAGTTTAAACCATCAACCATCCTAGAATTCTTATCGCGAATACTCGTATTTGGGTTCTCTCAGTTATTTATAGTTTCAACATTAAATAATTATTTTTACATAATATACTATATAGTGAAACACTGAAACAAGTACTCGATTCAATTCGAGTATTTGGTTCAAGTCGAGTACTCGTATTTACGAATACAAAATTTTTTTAGTCGAGTCGAGTCGAGTTCAAGTACTCGACTCGAAAATTTTTCCCAAAGTCGAGTACTCGAACAACACTATACTATACCAATAACTGACCAAATTAAATTAGATTTTGTTTTTGCTTTCGGAATATATTTTAATAATATATTTAATTCGTATTGAATTAAAGATTGACAAATTGTAAACTATCAATACTTAAACATAAGTAGGTACGTCATGTAAGTAATAGAATTATAAAAAAAAAAAAACAGTGAAGTCAATTTCGTTGGATTTTACTTATGACCATGAAAATAAAATAATTTAACACACGATTTTATATTATGATAACGGGTCACCTCACCGAACAAGTTCATTATAACTACTACAGTCTACCAGTCTAGTAAAATATTTTGGTAGTAGATAGTATTTTAAATACTTCATAAAATTCAAAAATCAGTAAATCAATGATCACATAAAAGAAAACAAATATAAATAGAATGTGCATTAAACATAAAATAAAAATATAATCTACGTAAAACAATACAAATTGGGTAAAACTTTTATTCATTCTTTTAATTTATAAATAGTTTAAAATTTACAGATAATTATTTTCAAAGGTGAAAATTATCAATTTAATTCAGATACTGGACTATTATAATGGTATATTTAAACTATAAGTGTAAGGAGATAGTAGGTCAATTGAATTTAAAATAAAATTCGAAATAACTTTAATAACCCTAAATAATAATGTTCATTCTCTCACGATTAAAATATTTTTTATCTGTATGAGTGTGTGGGGGTGTGGCAGTTGGCAGCGACTTGTACCTTACTGAACTTTCAAAAACAAGGAAAACGATAATACAATTTTAATCAAATTTAATGCAAAAAAAAAAAAAAAAACTAAAATTGATTTAAAAGTAAAAATAAAATAATTTAAAAATGTCGTATATTTTTTTTTTTTTTACGGAGTATTAATATACGTATTTTAAATAGTTTTTAAAGTCACAAGTGTCTGCATATCAGCTGCGGTACTCGAATACTTTTAAAAATTATCTTACGTACAAGATTGCAGCTGACAATGTCGCCGGAATACCGGATATACTGCAAAGCGTATTATAGTTCGTGGCTGTGATACACGTGACGATATAGGTGTGCGATACACATAAATCGGATGGAAACCACGGGGATAGGATTCTATAGGGCAAGTTCGTCTGACCTGCAGAATCGAAGCGCACATAGTAATAACTAACAATAAGACATACTACAATAGTGTAGTGCACTTAATATATATTATATATATATATATCGATATCGATGCGGAAATCGATTGTGAAGAATATCGTAGAACTCAAGTCGACCGACTGACCTGTGTGGAAGTCTTCTCCAGGCCGACTGCCAAGCCCTCGAACAGTTCGTGTATGCTGAGCGCGCCGATGACCAGGAAGCCGCGGACGACCGACTCGGACGCGGGCGCTGCGGCCGGCACCGGTTTCTTGACGGCCGCCGCCAGTTCTACGGAAGACATGCACGAGTTGTAGTTGACCACCCGCCCGGGGGCCGCGTCCGTCTTCTCGCATCCGACGGCGTTCGATTGCCCGACGGCGGCGGACGCGTCGCCGCGGCGCTGTTGGGGGGGCGCGGCGGCGGCGACGTCGTCGTCGCCGCGGCCGCGGTCCGTGGTGCTTTGGCCGCTGCCGCTGTGGTGCGGGTGACAGTCACCGCCGGTGAACCCGTGCACCAGCTCCTCGATGGAGTACATGAAGAAGAAGCCCGAGCACATGATGAGCTCGGCGAGCAGGCCGGACCAGGGCGATTTCGGGTCGAGCGTCTCGTCGGCGGTCAGCTGCTCGACGCCCTCCCGGACCTCGGGCAACAGGTGCAGGAACGTGGTGCACAGCAGCACGCCGCCGCCGAAGTTGAGTATCAACCGGAGCGCGGTGTTGGCGGCGCCGCGGGCCCGCCGCCGGATGCCCAGCCGCTCGAACACGCACACTGGCGTGCTGCCGGCCACGAACGATGACACGCCCAGGAACGCCATGGCCAGCACTTTTGCCAGCACCACCGACGACGGGTTTTCGTCCGTCTCCGCCGCCTCCGCCGCCGCCATCGAGCTCGCCGTCGCCGTACGCGTGTGCAATTATATCGTCGTCGTCGTCTTTGGACGTATTTCTCGCGGACTCTGCCCTGCACCGCTCACCTCGACCACGACCCGTTGGCTTCAGCTGTGTCCCGCTGTGCGTGCGACCACACGAGATACGTTTAAACGCGCGCCGTCGAACAGACACTGCGTACCTGGCGTGCGTGTGTGGGTCTGATCGTGCGCGAGTGTGGGTATATCTCGCCGAGCACCCACTCACACGCGCGCACGCAGACACAATTGTGGCCGCGAGATAAGACGACCGCGCGCGCCCAACAGATCTAATCGCGTCCGCGTACCGGCACGTTGTCGCACTCGACGATATTATATTTTGTTATTTATCGCGGCGTTCAGTCCGATACGCACACTGTACCGGCGGCGACGCGCACACGGCTCGCACGGCCGCCAATGCGACCAACACGCCTGGTATAGCATAGTACTATTATTTACAGTCGGTCTCGAGTAATATTGATAAACAAAAATAATAATACTATAATAATATAATATTATACTAATGCGCGCGTCGTCGTGTGTCTATTATTGTCTCTCGTTGTTGTTGTTGTTGTTGTTGTTATTGTTTTTTTTTTTATCATTATTCGTCATTATCACCGTTACTATTACTATTATTATTATTATTGCTTCTCGGGATATGTAAAATGTATACACACACGCGCGCGCGCGCGCGCACACGCATGACATTGAATTGAAACGCGTTCCGACACGTTCGGTTTAAAAATTTTTTTTTTTTTAGGAAACGCGACATCGATTGCTTTCCGTAAGATATTTAACCACACACTCATGCGATGTATTATTGCATTGAGCAATAAATCAATAGTCACCGTCATCTTTTACGTCTAACTTATCAACAATATGAAGAGCACTTATATTATAACTCTAAGACGATTGTACGTAGTATTCTTTGTCTTGATGAAATTTTAATTTACAAATTTATAACGATAATAATAATCTTTATAATAATTGAGTCGCAGATAAACTATAGCTACTACTAGCTACAATGTTCCTTGTAAGCTCAGCGTGTGTTGGACGTGTTGGTAGGGATGAGTACCGGGACAGAATATTATGATACCTATTTTAAATTGAAATTTTACGATATAAAATATTTTATTGTAAATTCGGTGACTTTTTTTTAAAAAGAACAAGATTAAAAAAAAAAAACTGCTCAAAATGTACGTCTAAGTATCTAACTCTTCTAACTACTTACAGTTTGTCTATAGTACCAAATACTTTATGTTGATTATTTTTATGTTTATGTATACCTCAAGACTGGTTCAAGTCTACATTCGTCACAAAAACAAGTATATAATAATTTTTACTAAATTACCTTATCATTATAATTATAATTTATAAGTCGTAAGACGTGCGCACATGCCTATTACTCTAGAAGTGAATGTGTAAATCAGCTATATAAAATATGGTTGAACAAATTTCAGTGATTTAAAGATATTACCTCTTACCCGGCTTACCCCCACGGCCGCCCATTGAATGCGTCGCTTTTTTTTTATAAATTAACAAAAATTAAAATAATTCTATTAGGGTCATAAACAATTTTAAATTTATAAAGTTATATTGTAAATAGTTATTACTCATTTGTAAGTATTCTAATTGAAATAAAAAAATTTTGTAAACCATATTAATTACGTGAGATAAACTCAAAATTTACATCCGCCATAAGTGACAACTGACAAGCAATATTAGACAGGAGTAAAAAAAAAAAATTGTACTTATTATTATTATTTAAAGTAATTTTGTATACTATTTCATAAATAATTTAATACTATTATTATTACATGATTAGTATTAGTTATTAGGTAAAACGTCGCGCGTTGTGCTCATTGCAACTTGCGCACCAAATGGAGTCTGTCGTGAGCAAAGGATGTCCTAGGACCTAGGTGAATATGTATTTTTATATTTATTGATATGAGTAATAGGTATGAATCTCACAAACTCAATTTTAATAAAATATTAATATATTTATTTTTAACCTGCCAACTTGTCATGTTACTATTCTGAATGTAGGTAATTAAATCCTTCCGGGAAACTCGTGACTGCATTCTGTTATTGCATTGCGTGCACGTACATCGGTTTTGCGTCGTTTTATTTTAACTTCTCGTTAACTGGACCCAGGTCAATACCTATTTAGTAAATAGGCGCACTGCGTACTCATTGAAGATATAAAATTATTATGACACTGCGTTTATTGCGTATTAGTCATTCAAAGGTATACTATTATTACATTCAATAATATTCTTCAGCTATTTTGCTAATATTTTGCGAATGGCGATAGATTACGAGGGACTTAAAAAAATTAATAGATTCTTAGCTATAATAAAATATAATAAGTAATAACAAAATAATATCCGTACCCGGATTATTAACAATAAAATTATCGATTTTGATTGTTTAACAACTGATATATACCTAATATAAAAAGACATTTATTTTTTTATGCAGTATTTGCATAATACGACGTACCTATCTGAATAAATGACTTCAAAAAAAATATCTACGCAACTTGTTTAATCCTACGAGATTTTTAAACGATTAATATAACGTATAGTGTGTATTTTATTATATTTATAACAACGTTATGAATAGTTCAATTTGATAATAATATGCAAGCATGCAACATTGCGTATTCTGTCAACAAAGAGAACCCTTTAAATGTTAATAATTGTCTACTAAGTATTAAAACATAAGTTTATGATTTCGTTTTTAACTAACCTACAAGTAGATAGGTAGGTATGTAAAAAGATTGATATCGCGCGTCATAGTGTTATCGAGCATAGGTTAATCGAGTGTCTATGGACTATATATAGATATTAGTGGTTACCTACCTAGATTAATGTTTTTCTATTACATAATACTTTTTTTTTTGACTAGTATGATTAGATAATGATAAAAAATTATCCTTATATTTAAATCAAAAATAAAGATTTATGCGTGCATAAATACTTAGATCTAATTGCAATAACATGTTATTTACTCAATCATTCAATGATTAATAAATTAATAATAATTATTAATAAATTATGTAATATTTAATTTTGATATAATATTATCTTATTGTGTACCTACTTATATTATTATTGTAATATCATTTCACATTAATAAATAATTTAAAGATATTAATTCATTTAGGGCCATTCATTAAATATTTAAATGTACATGCATTAATATAATTTGATTAAGTAGGTATACTTAAATAGTTAAAGAGTGCAGGAATCAATTAAATAAATGAACTAGGTCAACTAAAAAATTATGTTTCTTATCGTTATTATTTATTATATTTATATGAAAATCATTTTTTTTTTTTTTGTTAGTTTAAATTGAATATATTAAATCTTACAATATAATTTATAAGACATTTTAAACTAATTTTTATCAAATATAAAAAATTGTATACGTGTTTATTTAAAATATATATCTATAATGCGTTTAATATGTTTCTATTAGTTATAAATTATAAATTATTTGAATGTTTTTCTCATTAAAGTTACACAATTATTGCACAAGTTATTTATTTTATTAATTTATTAACCAATAATCAAATCACTAAAAATTTGTAAATTACTCTATGACGAGTTAGAGAAATTAATAAAATATTATTTATTTTATAAATAGTTATAATTTATAAATATATTAATTATATTATATGGAAAGATAATATTATGATATTATACAGATGGATTTCTTCTTATCAGTTCTTGTAAATATAACATGGAATACGTAATCTATAAGAAAATAAAATATGTACTTGTGTAATGTGTATGTAAATTTTAAAATTATGTTTTTTTCATACTTCATAGTATCTAATTATAAATATTAGAATATATTTTTGTAAGTATAAAATATAAATCCCTATTTCGTATAATTTTAGTATTAAGTACTTCAAATGTAATCTAGTCCAACCAATGGATTTAAATGACATTTAATATTACAATTATTATAATTTACCTACATTGGTTGTTACTAATAATTATTTTTGTAAATATTTTTTACCGAATCTTTATGATTTATTTTTTTTTTGCTTTAATTAAAAAATTTCGTAAATAATACAGATAATCAATACTTAGTGTGGTAACATGCCTATCTATTGTTTTAGAATTTATGATCATAATGAATGTTTTAGAAAATGTTTCTATAATATATTACTAACCTACTGTAAACATGTAGAATCACCTTTTGCTGTAATGATGGCTATTCCAAAAAAAGAAATGCTTAAATTAAATATAACAATTTCTTTTCCAATGTTGATTAATACATTTTTATCTGTATCATACAGACTGTATGACTGATTATACATTTCATTGAAAATTGTAGATATAGGTGACTAGTGATGGGTAAACACATGAACTGTGATCATGTGTTTTAATCATATAGGTATAGATAATTATATTACCTAATCAAAATATAAACTATTAATGATAAACATTAATAATAATATTGTAATATTATTGCCGTAATGGCTATAGAATATAGATAGTCGATTGTAATGCTTTCTTATAAAACTAATATAGAGAAAATAATAATACCTAATTATTACAGTAAATATAAGTTAATCAGTTTTTATCTGTACTTCTTAAATAATACGTATAATTATAATAATACTATCTATACTTTTATTACTAATTAATTAGCTTATGCTTTTTTAAATTATTGCCAATATATATTATTTTATATTTAAACCATTAAAAAAGACAAAAAGTTATCTTAAGCTGATAAGTTTTTTATAAAATGTATTCTAATTATTAAATATTTAATTAAACATTTTAAATAAATGATTTTTCACTAAATGTATTATTTTCTCGTAAAATTTAAGAAAACTTAGTGCCTTAGCCATAAATAGTGACTATTTGATCAAAGTGATACTTGGATTTTACAAACCTATATAATAGTGGTTAAGTTGCCAAAAATTGTAAGTTCATTTTTTTTTATATAATATAATATTATTATTATACATTATACATAATAAAATAAATTCTAAACAACTGTTGCAGTTGTTGTGATACGAGGATACTATGAATAACAAAATAAACGACTAATTTATGACTTACCTTGACTCACCTTTAGCACGTAATCTCCAAGAAACATCCGACTCATTTCGTCAGATTTAAAGTGACGAGTAAGTATATGCTAACGAGGATCATTTTCCCAGAATTGCATTGCAGTGATTGCATTACCTACACGGAACTTTACATGGCGCTTATAAACGGCGACGGGAAAACGATAATGATCCTAAATTGTTGTCCACTGAAAATCAGAAAAAGAAAATAGTTGGTGGCTACCGCTTTCCTCGAATAGTTAATGGAAAATATCGCGGTTATCGGTTTTTTTTTTTTTTTTTAATAAAATAAACCCACAATGTGAAGGGCAAAAGCC